CCCCAAAACCCCAAAACCCCAAAACCCCATGAATCAATTTTGATTTAGAATTATTAAATTAAGAGTTAGTCTGAAATAGCTTAATAATCATGATAATATAAGATTATGAGTTAAATCTGGTCCAGTCATTGTTAGACCACAGATTACTTGACTTCAGTGCCGTCGATATAGGCTCTAATATCAGCCATTTGCTCTTTGAATTTTCCGTAATCACCACTCATCTTGGTCTGAATGAAGTCATTATTGCTCTTTTAGGCATAAAGCTGAATTGCATCATTCAGCACCTTGCTACAATCCTCCATCTTTTTAAACAACAAAAGAACTTTAGGTCTATCAGTGGGTGAGTGTAGATATTACTCAGTGACGAATGCATTGATATATCTCTGAATGCCTCCTTGAATAGGTGATTCAAGAGTAGCCCTGATATGTGAGGACATCAGCTCAAGTTCAGCTTCCTCCTGATTGCTTTGGTTTTAAGCATTCTTTCTAAGAGTGTCAATTTTATCAATGTGTTCTTAGACAAATCTAACAGCCTTATCAATAGCATTCAGAGTAATCTTCTTGGTTTTGATTATGCTTTGCATGTTGATAATGGTAGGGAATTTATCTCTAACCTTGAATATCTCAATCTAAATGTCAGACTAAAGCTCATCTCCTTACTTGCTTGGAATCACTGTCTCTTTATAAAACCTATTCTTGAAATTTTAAGTGTAGTAATTTCTCAGGATTTCAGGTAAGTCTTTGCACTTCTAGGCAAGAGCTAACTCGTCATAATCCTTTGACTTTTAGTCGAGACTGAAGTCCTTTAATTCTCTGTAGGTAAGTGGGATGACTGGAGTGATCTGAAGATACTTCTGTGCTCCATTGATCACACTATCCTTGGGATACTAACCATCGTTGATGATTATTGCATCAGTAAAGTGATCTCTGATCTTATCAATAATCTCGATTCTCTTAACGAGTTTGCCTCCTCTATAAATGAATTCCTGATTCTTAAGCATACTAGGGAAACTTTAACCGAAGAAACCAATCTTAAAATAGCAAGCGTAATGCCTGTTAGGGTTGATAGACATTTCTTTGTAGATCTACGCCTACTCCTTCAATATTCTGCTGACAGCATCGAAGTCATAAATAACATTCTCAAAGAGGTCTTTCATTTGATTTAACACATCAATAGATTTCACATAGAGTTCAGCTTTCTTCAGATTTTCTTTGATTGATTTCATTAAGTCAATCTCAATGTATGTCTTAATTTTTCTCTCTCCAATTTGGAGGTAGTCTTCCTCGCTTTACTGGATGATCTATAAGAATCTAAGGTCTGTGAATGCCATTTCAGAGAAGTTGTTGAGTTTTTCATGCAATCTCTTAAACTATTCTTTGTTTTAGTTGAAGAGTCTAAATAGCTTGAGTTCCCAGAACACTTCCATGAGCTTAGCTTGACAGAATACCTTATAGAACTGATTATTATTCAGAGTGTGATTCGAGTAGGTGACATTCTGTAATGCCTCTGAGAGCTTTTGCATCTGATCCAATCTTTGGTCTACAATCTTTAAGAACTGATTGTCATTAGCATATAGCACTGTGTTAGTAATCTCCTGCTCAAAGCACTTATAAAACTATTTGCAGAATTCCTCTCTACTTTCCTCCAGGTTTAAGTCATTAAAGACTTGGAACAAACTGTTACTGGAGTGAAAAATGTCCTAGGTGTTAGTATACTCTATCTAAATGATGTCCGATATCATTCCCATGTAAACTTTGATGGTTCTCATCTATCCCAGTTTTAGGAAGTTCTGCATGACTTTGTTAAGGTAGCGAAGTCCCAGCCAAGGCTATCCCACATTTTTATACTTGTTCCAAAAAGCCTTAAAGATTTCGAGCATTTTGCTCTTATGGACTTTCAGCTAATCCTTGACCAGGGTCTTAGACCTGATAGTCTTCTTATAGTCTTGTTTAATCTAAGCAAGCTTGCACCAGAGGAAGATCTGAATCATGCGGCATTTGTTAATTACTTAGTGATACTCAGGGGTTAATGTTTCAGGGTCCACGTCCATAAAGATACTGATCACATACTCATTTATCTTTCTAAAGACCTGATTCTTCTTTTTCTCGAAGTACACTCCATAAGGATCTTAAAATGAAATCTTTTTTACCAGTTTCTTGAGGTTGACCATCAAGTTAGCTAGCTTTTTAGGTTCATTAAAGATGAATTACTTAATGTGCTCTTTTGATATGGAGTTTGCTACACTCAATAAAACCAAAGCACTTTTCTCTCTGAATGGATAGAGAGTTTCTTCTAAATCTTTGGACTCTTTTAGTTTGTAATTAATATTGCTCTGCTTATAAAACCCTCTTAAGTAAGTCAGCAAGTCTGGTAGTATCTTAGTAAAGAAGTCTTTTAGATCAAGATTTGATTTGGAGAATATCCTAAGCTTTTAAGATGCGTGCTTGGACACATATGAGCTTTCTTGATAGTCATCGCCGTGCTTGAGATAAACAAACAGCTGATGAAGGAAGTAGAATACATGCAGACTCATCTCCTCTCTCTTCATATGATGAGCTTCAATGTTCTAACAGAATGCCTTAATGAGTTTGTTCGAGTTGCCTGGTACTTTGTCAAACAGGCCATTAGCCAAGATTTTGCCCATAGCTACGATCTTTAGCTTCGATATGTACTCCTCATTAATGAAACTCAAATCCTTGAGACCCACAATGAAGTTCTTATTTGTGACGTAATCTTCAATCAATTCACTGCCTCTATTCTGGGTCTTTTTGCTATTTATGATCTAAGGAGCTGTAATCATATTAGACTATTGACTGATTGTCCTTGAATTGCTGTTCTCTTGGTAGGTTGAGGATCTCTGGTTGGAAAATGGCGAAACACTTCTGTTTGAATCTCCTCTCTTGTTGGCTGGATTTTTCAAGCCAAGCCTGAACTGATAGGATTGCTCTTCGTAAAGGAATATCAGTATTTATGACAAGAATTTTTCATCCATGAATTCAGTAATCTAGTCAAAAATCTCAGTAATGTTCTTTAGAAAAAATAAGTTAACTTAAGTTACTTCATAAAGCAATGCTCTAAGAGAAAGAGTAGACTTCATAGCATCTTTGTGACAACCCTCAAATATGGAAATGATACATTTTTGCATAAAGGTTCCAAATTCCCTTTTGCTAAGTTCGAATTTCTTTAGCAATCCTTCTTGTTGAATAGTATTCCTAATAGCTTTCTTTCTCATCATACTTATTTTCTAATATATTGTTATTTATTTACAAGTCTTACAGCAGCAGCTGAAGCATTATAGGTCTTATTTGAAGCAGGATCTAGATATTGAATAGCTCCTCCATTCCCATCTTCGTCATTGTCTGACTCATCATCCTCATCGTCCTCGTGAATTATGCTGTCTTTAATCTTAGTATACTTATCGTAATTCCCCATAGATTTCTGATAGAATGGTGATTTATCACAGAGTGTATTAGCTTTCATCGCTTGCTAATCACATTCTTCAAGATCTAGTAGATCACCAAATCTATCGTTGTATTTTGGCTCTGCAGTATGTGGCTAAGAGTCCTAGCACTACTGTTCTTCTTAGAAGGAAATTTTGATCAGTTTAAGAACCACATTTAAGTACTTCATTGTTGCCAGAATCACATCTTCATTCTAGATCTGATTATCATTGTGGAGACCTTGCTTAATAATCTCGGAGGTTTGTCTAATCTAATGAAGCAATGGGATGTAAACCTTTGAGTGTGCAAAATGTTTCTCAATGTACTAGTCAAGAAAGTCTTTATAATCCTTATATTCATTTTAGAACAACTAGATGATCTAAATAATGGTCTCAAAGACAAGGTCTTGGATATTGGGGCTCTTGGAGAAATTCATTATTAGGAACAGCTTATCCAAGATCTTATCATGATACAACACCAATTCATCTGAGGAGGTAACTTTGAGCTCGTTGATAATTCTTACGTAATCTGAAGAGTTGCTATTACTCTCTTATAAAAGCATCAGATTATTTATGAATCTGTTGTGAGTAAACTCATTTGAGATGATCTTGACTGTGACTCTCATCTTGTCATCAGTAAGCTTAAAGTTCTTGCAGTGATCAAACTTAACAAATTCTCTGAACAGAATCTCGTCCATTTACCACATAGTGAGGATGTAGCTATCATTCTTTAATATACAGTCCTTCAATCCATCATATAGAGGTAATACTCCAAATATGTCAGTTTTGAATTCTAATGGTAATGATAAAAATATAAATCTAAAGTTTACATAATCTTTCTAATTCGTTGGTATAGTTACTCGTTTTAATCTTATTTCCTTTAGAATCCTTATTGGTAACTAATGTTTAAACCAAGAAAATCAAGTATAACTTTTTCAGGGTTTCAAGTGATTTAGTTGGAATTCTGACGAAGAATGACTCATGCATTTGGCTGTCCTCTTGATTAGGGTAAATCAATGACTCATAGGTCTGAGTGAACTCAAATTTATTGTCACACATTGACTTGTAAATGGTGTCATATACTACTCCATAGTTATCTCTCAAGGCAATTTATATTCTATAGATAGGGCTTTTCTTGGACACACAATCGAAAAATGCAATATTATTCAAGTCAATCCTAATGTCATTGAACCTATATTTCTCCTTTGACTTGTATATTTTGACTTAGTCTTTGCCTCTCTGACTGAAATCTCTTTAATCAAAGTTAATTCGGTTGATAAACATAGCACCATTTCTATCAAGTGCGTTTTCATCTATTTTAGACTCCCTAATAATGATGATTAAAAGTACTGAAAATTTTACATTCTATAGGTATAGCATAAATTGATTAATTTGGCAAGATTAGGATCTCTGTATTTCTTAAAAGCTCTCTTGTCAATGAGAGTTGCATATCTATCTTCAATCTTGAATGTATTAGATTGCTTGTAGAACATTGCTTCTTTAATCTCAAAGATTTGTCTAAATTTAAGTTACTGCGCCCAAAACAATCTGGAAAGAGGTAGAATCGTATAGCCTTTGTAAACTTTGTGAGTATTGAATTCGTCATTAGTGCTCAGTAGATTGTGAGTGAGAGATTAAGATTTTGACCTTCTTTTCTCCACGACATTCACAATGATGGCAAGATTATTACTAAGTAGAGAGCGCATTGATATGTTGAGGAATACATATTCAGCTTGCTAGCCGTTTAGAATCCTACTGGCATCCATAAATGCAGTAAGAGAGTATGGCTGTCCATTTTCCTGGTACATAGTGAGGAATATTTCATGATTTGAGATATTTATACACTTTATAGAGAATATCAGTGAAAACTCTTTATCTAGCATCTCATCCAAGTCAAAGTTGGTAGTTGCACAAAGTGATGGACAAAAGTTCTTCACCAATTTAAGCATCCCCTCTTTCTTCACACCGAGAGTATTCCTTAGAAAGTTTTTTCTCACCTCATCTACATCTCTCGTTGTTTTATTTTCTGAAACAATCTAAAATTTACATTATTTTTAATTAGTACTTACAGTTTGGGTTTCAATCTAGCTTTAATCATCACTCTAGCCCTCAATTTCATTATGGAGAGCAATAGACATTCTAGACTCATTTTAGTGTTATTAGTTTATTTTTTCTACATCTTGGCCCTCCATTTGTTTGATCTTCTTGCTTAATTCAACACATTTATCGTAAACTGTGAAGAAATCCTTATAAACTATAGAGTATAGTCTCTCGGTTAAATGCATTGCCTTCTTTCTTTCTTATAAGGAACTCTCAATTTGAACATCAATGAGGTTAAGCGATAGATCTCTTGGGTAGATATAGTTATCCAAGTATTATCTTGTGCGCTCTAGATGACAAGACATAGCTTTCAAAGCTTTTCGCACCTATTTGCGTTCTTTGCCAGAGTCATGCTTGAGGTATTCATTTTTCATTGAGATCAGCACATTGTAAATTTTTTCTAGGAATTCCTTTATCTCCTTATCTCTAGATTTTTGCTAATCTACAAAATTAATCTGAGCACCCCTAAATATGTCATTAAAATTAAGCATTAAAAGTTTACCTGCTTTTTTCCATCTTATTAGAGTTTTTGCCTTTATCGTCTGTTACTTTGGTAAAGAGATCAGTATCTTTCATGTCGCTAATCTTTCTTTCTTCATATAGCTGCTGACTAAATTCATTGAATTTTGTAGAGGCTCTCACATTCAGACTTTAGAAGACAGTCTGAATGTACTCAAGTTCAAAGCACAGATTCTTCTTTGCACAGCGAAGTACAAGATCATCTAGAATACTTTAATCCTAATCTTCACCCACAGCCAGGTCTTGTTCACTTATGAAGTCATTGAAGTCAAATTAGCTATTGACCATTGCTAAATTCTTCTGGATTTCGTCATCATCCATTAAATTGTTAAGAGTGGCTCCTAACTATGAATTCCGTTCTTAAACAGTGGGGTAGTCTTGATTATCTATAATATCCTGCATTTAACTTGCTGTTCAATAATATAAAATTAAGAGCTATCTAATGCAATTTATAATATTTTATAGATCCTTTTATCGTGAGATATTTCCTCAAGGGGTTTTGGGGTTTTGGGGTTTTGGGG